GCATATTTTTTTGTCAAATATCATACTTAAAAATATGTTTGATTATATGAGAACCATGTTTGATTCATTGATAATTATTGCAGTGAATTTACTTACCAAGTAAAAATTTATTCTGACGTTCTAAAATAGATTCACAAGCATATATTGTATGGTTGATTACAACATATTAACAAAAGCCTTGAGCATACCAATTCTATATTTCACAACAGATGATAAGGTGATCTGGAAACTTCTTCAAGGCAACAGCAGAGGCCCTTTGCCAATTTATTCAAAGCTTGTAAATATGAATTTAGAACCTCAAAATGCTGAGCAACAAAGAATGAAAAACGAGGGACGTTTAAAAGCTTCGACCGTAGATGTACAACACTCGGAAGATCGATCCTACGTGTAATCAAGTGCATTAACGCTCCCAGTATGATGCATCCTGCAAATATAACCCAAAGAAAGTAATATTGTATTGATGAATCTTACAGTAGCAAATGCTATTCCAATTACCCTTTGTTTTTGTAGGGCTAAGGTACATGCTGCATAAAATGCCTAAAATGATACTTAAGCAACACTTTTCAAATGGCACCCTAGAAATTAGGTATAATTACCCAGGATAAAGTTCAGGTACTTTTCAGAGTCACAAATGCCCCATAAGAGGTTTCTTTTATTTGTATTTGAAAAGGAGAGGGAAAAACAAGAGAGGTCGTTCATAGAAATAAAACATTAGGGCTGATGTTAAACAAACTAAACTATGAGATAGCATACCCTAAAAACAACATTTAAAGTGAACAAAACTATGACATTTTTGCATCACAATAGGCGTTTTTTGTTCAAAACATATGACGGGTCCGCCTAATGGTTAGGTTGTCTCATAACAAACTTTGTGGAAATCGAATTAGACCCACTAAGATCTTATGCAAGGAGTCAAAATTTGGATAACCGTCTAAATTCGCATACTCCAACTTGTGAAACCCATTTCTATATCCTTTGTTTCCTCTCTTTCTTNTTTTTTTTTCGGTTAAATTATTATGCCAAGAAACATGGATTTTTTTTTACAAATCAACACTTACCTCTCCTGATCTTAGCAGCCCCATCCCTGAAACAAGCCCCACATCCGTGATAATATCCTCATGTTCAACCTCGGCATCAGTGAAAGTGAGAGCTCTTTGCAACTTCCTAGGAGAGAATACTTCAACTTCCACCATATACATGGCTGTCACTGGCCGGTGGTCGGATAACCTGACTTCACATCTCCTATAGCTCAGCAGCCTTATTCCCGTCCCAAAGCTCAGAATGCGATCACACCTTGAGATAATACGAAAATAACCCTTATATAAGAAAATTCATTGCTAAGAGATCTACATCTGCTTTCTACTAAGCTTTTAATCAGTCATGCACACTGTAATTGTGAACAAGCAAAAATGTGTACATACCAAGCTGGTGTTCTTCTCCCAGCTTTTGGATCCTCCCCGACATAAGACTCGGAATTCAACTCATATTTGTAAGTTGGAGCGAAGTTCAGAGTCCCTTCAGACCACCCATCAAATGCACGGCCTTTCTTAAACTCTTTGCTTAGCTGTAAAGGAAAATAATATTATTGCAAAATTTCAGAGGAAAAAGGGAAAGGAATAGCAGAAGCTAAATTCATCAGGAACGTGGATTTACTGCAGTCAATAAGTGGTAATATTGTTTCGCCTATGAACCATTATTCAATTAACAAATCATTACAACATTAATATGCTGTGTCAATTTTAAAGGAGATCTGGTTGGTTGTGTCGGTAGTTATAAATTGGAGACAAGTGGGTCAAGTTACTACTATGGAGATTGTACTATATATCTAGCAACATTTACAACAGTTAATAACTAGCCAGACCAGAAAAAAGCATTCAAGTGATGTCATTTTAGCATTCCTGGCTTTTCTGTAAAATTAGGGAGCAGAACAAAATCATTCACCTGATCCTTCTCGATTAACTTGGACCAATCCTTTTTGGAAATCAGGTTTCGTGTCTGATCATAAGACAAATTGATGCGATAATTTAGGTCCCCCAGCCAAAATATTCTCCTGCAAGAGATAAAGGTTAGCTGAAATAATTGGCACCCAGAAAGAAGAGCGAAAAAAAAAAAGAGAAATGGATATTGAAACTGTAATTTTCTTACGAACATACTGCACATGTGATATGAGGGGTTGACTCACACAAAACTAGTTAACATAACTAAAGGTACTTTAACGTAAATGATTTTTACAAACCAAACAACGAGTGACCTTGTTGACATCTAGTACATTGCTAGCACGATAATCTTGTGAATGGATTTTAAGCTGTTTTTTAATGTAACAATAAGAGGGGCAGCAAGTAAGTTGGGTTTCTCTGCTTTATTTGACATATTCCAAGAAGATTTCAGTTTAGTCCCAGAAAAGTGAACAAATTTTATTATGCTGCTTTCGTACCAGCATCATTTAATAGTAATAGGTAGAAGTTTGACGTTCCCTCAGGCCAAAAAGGACACACACACACACACACAAAAAAAAAAAGAAGATAGGACAGAATATGCATACTCATGATCATATATTCTTCTTGGGAGCCCTATAACGGAAAGAGAATTGAAGCGTGTCCGTCTATGAATGTCATAGACATCTGCATTTCTCTTAACTGCATCCGCATCTTTCTCTCCCGATGTTAGATGAGTACAGATGAAACAGCACAGTGTCTGATGCACAGACATGCTAACTGATATTGATCCCTGGAGAGAGGGAGGGACGATGAGTTATGCCTAATGAATTACTATAAGCAACTCAATAAAACATAACAGTAACGATATAATGCAGCATAACAACGAAAAAAATAAAAACATGATCAGAAGGACACAGACTGAATTTTAGAAATTTATCAAACACAATCAGGTATCAGTAAAAATCAGAATAACCACATAACTGAATAAATGTTAGCGTCAAAATAACCTGGAGAACATATCCAGGTCAGATTCACCCACTTCGCACCTCATAAGAACAGAACATATCTAAAATAAATTGCTATCCCGAATACAAGCAAGGACTAGAACAAGAGACATTTGGACCTTGTCTATTAACACGAAATTACGAAAACAGAGCAAGTAAGAACAAACCTTATTGCCAATATAGCCCATGACACCAACACCAACAGTAGACACGTTCACGTTCTGTATATGCCGGCGCAAGCTCCTGCGTACCCATATAGTGATAAATATCCCGACCATTTGCTTGCTTACAATCCTGACATACTGCGGCCGCCTTTTCCTGTTTATTATGGACTCAAGGTCAACTTCCAAAAGTGACCCTATGTCAGGCTTCATTCTATTTTCACCCATCACGTTCGACTTAAAAGAGTTGCAAGTCCTGAATGATTTTGAACTTTTGAAAGATTTATAAGATTGAAAAGAATTAGGTTTCTCCAGGACATGCTTAGGCAGAAGATGAAGTGGTGGCTCTGGCCAGCTCAATCCTATCCTCTCTGTCCCACTAAATGTTTTAATTAATTTACGATTGTACTGAGAATTTGGGCCCTCGTTATTTTCTCCATCCTCCTCTGTCCTTAGGCAATTCAATCTGTCCAGCCTCTTGGGAGAAGAAAATTGCCGGGCCAAATCCGGTTCTATAGGCTGGCCCTCATCTTTAAGGACAGAGTCATCAGTTCTTCCTTCAACTAATCCCCCATCAGTTTCGGAAAAGACATTTGGCTCCTCATTCAATGGGTAGATTTCTTCACCAACATCACTGTCGGATTCGAGTAGGATTTCGTCTTCTATATCTGGGGCATCTTCAGCTGGCTTGAACCTTGATGGAGAAGGAGGGTCACTGAAGCTTTTGAACTTAGTTACTGGTTGAACTCTGTTTAGAGCTTCACGAATTATGTTTTCCCATATGGCGACCGGACGGCTATCTTCAGCACCAAATATATTTCCGGCATTTAACGGAATGATCTCCTGCAGGCTGAAAACAGATAACAGATGTTGATATGAAATGAGTTTGATATATCTTGATAGGATCACAACAAATGTATAGAACGGCAAGATAAAAATTAAAATAACTAAAATATTTGAATTGGCAGTCCAAGATAAACGACTTTGGGTGTGAACATAAATTTGAATTTACAGAAAAAGGTAATCAACATACCCAATCACATAAATATCAGCAGGGTCATCAATATCTAACCAGCCATTGACATCCAGATCATCAGGAGGAACTCTTCCCCCAACATTCCATGTGGCAGCGCATACCCTTGAAAAGCCAAAGAAAATATTTCATGGATCAACAAAATTTCTTGTACATATATCTTATCAACATTCAGTAGTTTTGATCTTCAATAGCACACCTGATTTCCTTATTGTTTATATACTGAGCTCTAAATGTCTCTGAGTTGCGTCGTCTTAATTTGGGAAGAGCTGGGTCTGAACAGCGCATAAATAAACATTACTAATTTAGTTCCTTTCTAAGTTGAAGAATAATATAGACTAACTAAACTACAACCACAAACAAGAGTAACATAATTAAAAGCAACTATGAAAGAGAAATATGTAAATAGTTCAAACTTCAACATCCTTTAGACGAGAAGTCACAAAAGTTAATTTGCTAGTCATGTTGATAATTACGACAGACACACATGGAGAAACATATATGCACATGGACACACATATATTTCAATTCATGTATACAAGTGAGACTAAGAGTCTTCTATACGTTTTACCTTAGTGACATGAACAGAAGCTATTTATGTGAGCCATTGTTTTAATCATATCACTAACTTCGTTTTTGTCTGAGATATTTATCAGTTCGATTATATGATATATCAGGAAAGAAAACTATTTATAGTATTGAAAGAAAGTCATAACAAGTCAAGGAGTGTTGGATAGATGTCAAAATTGGAGATAGAGCTTCTTGAAAGTCATGTTTTCATGATAAAGCAACACAAGACCATGACTACATTTACAAACAAGACAAATGAACTAGCTCAAGGATTAAGACAGTATTGCTATCAACACTTGTACTTTTACATGTTTTTGGATAAAGCAACCTGAGTTGTTGGACTAAATATTGCCTTTTTCCAATAAATATTATATAGTAAAGTAACTGATAAAGCAACACGTGAAAAATTGTCATACTTACAAAAATGAAAGTTAATCAACAAGCTCAAGTATTAAGATAATACACCATACTTTTCATATTTTTTGATAAAGCATTCTGACACGACCTTCATCCACTAAGATTGTTGTATATTACTTTGTTGGTTTTTCCACACAACAGACTAGATGGAAGTTCTTCATGAAAAAATATATATATGTACATATATATTCATTAGACAATAGATATCTCACCTTGCAGTATTATTTTTCTTTTTTTCTTTATTTTTTATTTTATTATTTTTTTTTTTTAAAAAAAACATCCAAAGGGGAGGAATCAAGGCCAGATCCCCAACCTGTATCTCACCTTGCAGTTCACTCTTTACTCTTTAGTCAATTCGATCAGTGCTACTCTACAAACAGTGACTCTGAAAAGGTAAGTCTTTACACTTCATCACTTTATATATCGTCATTTAAAAAAGAAAAAAAGCTAGCACATGGATCTTTTAAAGAATCATTTAGAGATTAGTACTTAAGTAAGAAAAATTCTAAACTCTGCAGACAGAATCAGCATAATGGACAGAAATAGATGTGATCCAAAAGATTCTTAAACGAGCAGCCCCAAAATGGTAAACAACAATTAGGCCTTTTCATCTTCATTATTAAATCATAACTAACTATAAAGTTCGTGTAGTCCGACAAAAGTGACCTAAATCCCCAATTAAAACTGATCACCTCAAAATACTTAAAAGAAAATGAGTTAATAATAAAAAACAGAATTATATGCTGCAATTCAATTTCAATAACCCCAAATTCATTAAAATGAGCAATTTTTTTCTCCAAAATTGGACCAAACAAATCAACCCCAATTCCTCATTTTTTGTCTGAAAACTCCAAAGTGAAGAAACACGTTACCATCAACATCAACCTGAGGTTCATCGACTTTATCATTCTTGAACCTCGACTGCTTAGGCCAATCGAAAGATTCTGCAAATAAATCCACTAAATTATTACAAAAAAAAAAACTAGCAGAAGTTGAAGAGGCGTGAAAAAGGTCAAACAGGTATAAAGATCTGAAAATTTCCGAAATATGATAATGCCGAACAGTATATGAGGATCTGAAGAAAGTTTAGAAAAAAAACACGGACCCTGCTCCGAATCTGAGCCAGAACCCGACTCAGTGTCGGCAGAGTAATCAGAATCGCTCTTTGCCAAGTTGAGCCACTTGCGCACCACCAAGCGCCGCCATGAGACCTGCAGAGCCAAACACCGCAATTCAGCACAATTCCTCCTAAATCCTTTTCATACACACATAAATCCTGCAAAAAAAACTAAAAATTCCACATGTAATTGGAGAGAGAGAGAGAGAGAGTGCACCTCGTGTTGCTGACTACTGTTTCTCCGTGTTCTCATTTTTGAATAGATAATCTGTGGGAGAAGGTGTGAGGAATTTCGGAAAAAAGAGCAAAAATGGGTTGAAAAAAGTTGAGGATATGGAGAATGATGGCGGCCGAACGATAACTTCCGGCTTTGTACTGTTGTGCAGAGGCTGCATGCCTTTTAATAACCGTTTCTATTTTGTTTTTATATGTGTCATTCTCTCCCTCTCCCTTTAATTACATGGTTAATTAAATCAGGGACAATTAAATATTCCTTTAATCACAATTAAAAATATTGTTGTTATGTGGGTATAACAATTATTTTTTTAAAAAAAAATGATATACACTTTTGCTCAAAGTGGAATTATTCGTGATATTAATTGATGACAACGATTTTATTTATTTAAATTAAGATTGATAAACAAATTTAATTTTATATATAAAGATAGATAGAATTTTTTATTATATATGCAATATAAATTTTAAATAAAAAATCGCTAAAAGATAATTAAGTTGATATGTCGGTAATACCAAATAAAAGGTTATTACGTTTTGAAAATGGACCAATTGTTGCTAGACATGGCCAAAATATGGTTTCGGTTTACGTTTTGGGAATTGAACCGGCCTGGGCTGTCTCATGAACCGTCGATTATGGGCCAGTCTGATTTATTAAAAATGTAGAAAAATAATAAAAAAATTAAAAAAATTAAGTCGAATCGTTGGTTCCAATTTCAGTTCAAACCGGAATTGCTGGTTCAAAATTCGTAAATAAACTGGAACCGACCCGTGCAAAACCACGAGCCGGTTTAAGACTCATGGTAAACAGGCCGACTCCGAACTGCTTCGGCCCGTAGTCATGTCTAGTTTCTGCTTTATGCTTGAAACACTTTAAGTGCAGCGCCACAATTATGGGTTAAAATGGATAATTGAATAGCGTTGCGCCATTTCTAGCGCAACACTGTTCTTGCGCCACAATTTTTTTTTTTCTTTTTGTATATTTTATGTTTATTGAATTTCATGTAATATTATTAGTAAATTTTTGTAATGTGTATTGGTAAATTATTTATTATGTTAAATAATTTTTTGCTTTTTATTTATGTTTGTATTATAATTTATTTTGTAATTTTTAATATTAAAATAATACACATGAATAAAAATTTACAACATATATTTTTCAACATATTACACATCTTTATTTAACAAATTTATTTATAATAGAAAAAATATGTGTTAAATTCTTGGACGAACAAAGATTAACACAGGAATTTATTTTCAATGACTTACATTATAAATTAAAACTTTTCTTAAATCTTATTTAATAGTATTTTAGAAAATATTGATATATGTTTTAGTAAATAATCTAGTTTTTATATAAATATTGTTGTACAATTTATATTTTTTTAATTATATAATGATAATAATTTAAATAACTAATTTTGTGTAAAACAATATATCTAATTAAATTATATTTGTGATATTCAAATAATTTAAAATAATGAGAATAAAATGAAAATATTTTCTGGAGTAAAATGTAGCGCGAACAATTGGAGACAACACTTGATTTTTGTTTCACACTACTCTAGAGCAGAGTAAACTCTGCACTAAAGTAGAGATATGGACTGGAGATGGTTTTAACATATAAAATTGAATTTGTGAATTGAAGAGGAATTTGTATTTTATGTTATATCAAATGTTTTAACTTCAATCATAAATATGATCACTATGATCTTGTATGGAACATATGATAATAATATGTTGCAAAATAAGGGATAAAATAGTCACTGTGATAAACAACATAATTAATAAATTCTTTTGTAATGTCTTAACCGTTAAGCGAGTTAATTAGTTTTTTTTTTTTAAAAAATAAAAGCATCATACTTTTTTAATAAAAATGTATACTTATACTATGAAATGTCATACTTTGTCTATGTGTTAGGTCAAATTACACATCTTTATTTAACAAATTTATTTATAATAGAAAAAATATGTGTTAAATTCTTGGACGAACAAAGATTAACACAGGAATTTATTTTCAATGACTTACATTATAAATTAAAACTTTTCTTAAATCTTATTTAATAATATTTTAGAAAATATTGATATATGTTTTAGTAAATAATCTAGTTTTTATATAAATATTGTTGTACAATTTATATTTTTTTTAATTATATAATGATAATAATTTAAATAACTAATTTTGTGTAAAACAATATATCTAATTAAATTATATTTGTGATATTCAAATAATTTAAAATAATGAGAATAAAATGAAAATATTTTCTGGAGTAAAATGTAGCGCGAACAATTGGAGACAACACTTGATTTTTGTTTCACACTACTCTAGAGCAGAGTAAACTCTGCACTAAAGTAGAGATATGGACTGGAGATGGTTTTAACATATAAAATTGAATTTGTGAATTGAAGAGGAATTTGTATTTTATGTTATATCAAATGTTTTAACTTCAATCATAAATATGATAACTATGATCTTGTATGGAACATATGATAATAATATGTTGCAAAATAAGGGATAAAATAGTCACTGTGATAAACAACATAATTAATAAATTCTTTTGTAATGTCTTAACCGTTAAGCGAGTTAATTAGTTTTTTTTTTTTAAAAAATAAAAGCATCATACTTTTTTAATAAAAATGTATACTTATACTATGAAATGTCATACTTTGTCTATGTGTTAGGTCAATCTAACGAATAAAACGACATGCTCTTCCCTAAAATATGCATACTTTCATAATAAAATATAACATTTGGTATAAGTATGCATTTTTATTGATGAAGTATGACGACTCAACCTGTCTAATTGTTAAAGTGTCCCAGGAATTTGTAATCCAACTGTTGTGTCCATATCCATACTAATACAGGCGAGTGATTTTATCCTTAGACTCACGTACAACGGCGAATTCAGAAATTTTCATGAGCTAGAGCAAAATGTAGTTGAATTTCTTTTAACAATACTACACAAAATACTTATATTAACAACTAAATAAATCGTTGAAGCAATCGGGTCTTGAGTTGTTCCTTATTCAAATTGACTTTGACGTAATGCTAAAAAATGAAATGGATAATATAGCTTGATTATTTGATTTCGCATTTTTATTATTTTAATAAATATACCAAAAATATTTTATAATCACTTTTCCTTCAATTTTTTGTAATAAGTTATAAACAAGTCATTTTGAAATATAATTTATTAACTATTAATTTAAGAAAAGACTAAATGTCATCATTTTTGTTTCTGTTATTTTACAAAGAGTTCCGTATAGATTATTTTATTACTAGAGTTTTTTATTGTCTAACTAACACTTTTTAATTTTATATGTTAATTTCTAAAAATTCAAAATAGTCCCTATAAATATGGACATTTATCTAGAACTTTCAAATTTGAACACTTGACTAACTTAAATTGCAAATATATTTTAAAAGTTAATAAAATTTATATTTGTTATCATTTTTTATGTATGATAAATTAAATTAGTCATATTTTGACGATCTATAATTTGCATTCATATCGTATATAAAAATTAAAATAATCATATCTATTTGATCTCTATTAATAAAAACTTAAATATTTATCAATTATAATTGAAAAACAATAAATTTATCTGTCAAGCCTTCTATATGGTTTAAGTACTAAAAATATTGTAATATAAGACTGTAGAATCTGACAGGTGAGGTGTATCATTTTAAATAAAAAAATAATGTTATTTTTAAGAATTATTTAAAAGTTTAAAATAAAAACTTGTATTTATATTTTTACAAATATTATATATAAATTTTTAATTAACACATTTAACTATATAAATTGTGTAGTTAGCACCAAAAACCCAGCCTAGACAATTGCTTAGGCTGGCATATATGTAGATCCGCCAGTGCTCAAGTAGGATCTCTTCTGGTGGGCAATGGCTCAAGATACTGTATGTTGCAAGTACGTTGCAATTAGAGTTATGTTAAATAAATCAAATGGTTTGTGAATTGCACAAATGAACTAAACTCGAGCTCATTTAAAGTTCGTTTAGTTAACGAGTCGAGTTTATTAAGACTCAAAAATATTAATTTTTACTTAACTTTCTTAATTTTTTACCTTATCTCCACTAATTAATAATACTTTATTTTTTACCTTAACTCGACTAATTAATAATCCTTTATGTACTTACTAGGTCTAAAATAAGATTCTATAAAATAATATTGGATATGGATTTGATTGGTTTATTTGTTAACTATAATTAATTTTAAAAATATAATATAATTAATTAGTTGTTAGTGAGAATTTAAGTTTAAATTAAATAATATTTAAAATAAATTAATTAAAGTTTATTTAATATAAAAAAAATATAATTGGAAGTGATGATTAGTTAAAATTAGAAACAGAAGCACAATAAATTTATTCACTACTATAAGGTCAAAGGATTTTTTTAATGAAAATCCTTGTTATGGACACACTTTATTTAAGTGGAGGCTAAAAGACTTTCGGCCAAAAGTTGCTCAACTTTCTTTCTGGAAGCACATATGTAATGAATATTGTAATTAATTAGGTTTGATTTTCCTAAAACCTACTAGTGCCCACATTTCAAATGCCCTCTAATTAGTGCTACTAATTACAAAATTCTACGTTTAAGGTCTTTTTATATATACACAAGTAAATAAATGAGGGGTTAAATTAGATGGAGGCAATGTATCATATGTGTGAATATGAAGTATATTTAGTTTAGTTGCCAGTTTGTATATATTTGTGTAGTACCTATTATGCCTGATGGCTGTGAACTCTTGTACTGCTTATTTACTTATGGTATGAATATTCTTCGTTTTGAATNNAGAAGTACATCATATTCTTCCCCCAAAAAGGCACATTGCAATCATTTAATTCATTCTGGTGTGGTACTTTAGTATATAACTTATTATGTATGATTTACTTCACTTCGGTGTGGTTTAGTATATCGGCTATATATAATTTCAAAATGCACTGAGTTTACGTGGCAAATTCTCATACTTTGGAATTCTATTTGGTAAAAAATCATACTTTGGAGTTAGGCTTGGATATAAATTAATATTTTTTATCATACTAAATCCATGATATATTGATTTTTTTCCTTCTTAATTTACTTCTACAATTAATTATCATAAACTAATTTAAAAATTGATAACTTTTGTATTTCTTATCGATTTTACATATAT